TAGCACTAAATATCGTCGAATGTACAAAATTTACTATTTAGCTATTTTCATATAATTTTTAGTAATTATTAAAGCATTGAAGATATATTTCAATATTCTTTCATGTAAGAAAAAATATACGTGTCTAGGTGAATAAAAAAAGTGATAGAAAATGTATTTCTAATTTTTTGCGTGTTCTTAACCATTACGAGCTATGGCAGAATATCTCGAGGGCAATGCACTTCATACAGTCCTCTGTAGCCGAGTCATAGACCCATTTGACACGTCAAATAAACTTATTTTGAACAAGATTTTTTTATTAACAGTTCCGAAAACTAAAGAGTGTGATTCGACATCGATTTCACTTAATATTCTGTCAAATTTCGAAGCCAGTTTCAGAAGCACCGTGTATACAAAACAATCTAAGTATGTCGATTATTTCAAATGCAAAAAGTAAGACAGAGACTATGCCGATCGATGTAACGTGCATAACTGATGAAATTTATGTCGGTCGAATTGCCAACGGATACGTGCTCTTTGGGGTAATCTCTCGATTCAAGTACCTACAAGGTAAATGAGGCAGAAGCATCACTTATTACTCCCACATATTTTACTAACTACCGCCTCAATTAATTATTCCGCAAATCAACCGCGTTGTTCACTAACTAGTGAGCGATCATCTCGACTTATTTAACCGCTTCTGCGACGGTGTTATAAAACTAAATGTCCAATACTAGTTTAGATAAAGGCATCCCAAAATAATTGAATTTTTAGTCTTACTCGTTTACTTTCAATATGAGACAGTCAAATTATCTTTAATCATTTATACACAAAACTAAGTTAAAGTAATACCTAAGTAACGTGTCCATGTAAAATCACGTACTTAGTGTGCCTGTGGTCGTGTACCTGTGGACAGGGTCGATGTGGCTGTTCACACAGACGCGAGTATGGATTACGCCGCTAATATATGCAAAATATAACAACACATATACTACGCCAGCTCATCTTCGCGTTCACGTGCTAACTACCCATAATTGGGCCCATTGTTTGGGTCTGATTAGAGTCTCATGGGTAATTAATTGGTAAATTTATCCGCTGTACGCCCACTTTTAATTTACTTTCCCTTGTTTACATCGTATTAAATGTGGGTAATTTCGTTTTTATCTTCATGCCGTGTAACGACAAGCCTGTGAGATTATTTTGAATGAAGCGAGTCTTGTCGTTCGTCACGCTTCAACCATTGCAGGTTCGTATCAAAAGTCCATAAAAGGCGGAAATTTTTTGGAGTTCACGTTGTGAGCACGATATATATGTTCCCTTTTATCGGTTTTAGTAATTGGGAAATAAGCCGATTTTATATAGGAAATGGACTATTTTTAGTACACAGAAACACTAAACTAGTACAATTAATTAATTCATATTTATCAAGTTTATTTGAAATCATGAATGTATTCTAGTACATCTTTAACATAATCAATTCTGTCCTAAAGATTTGCCATTGTATTGCATGAGATCTAGTGACACCACAATTAAAAGAACGTCAGCCGCTATACGAACAGTATAACAATATAATATGATTACATCATTATTGTGCTTGTTACAAGAGTCACTTTATTAAACTATCGCTCTCGTAACGTTTCACTATACCCATCTAAGGGGAGCTAGAGTCGATACATTGTAGGTTAAAGTTCGATTTCACAATTTTTCTCTGCACTTCCCGCTGAGTGCCATTCAATTTCTTAGAACGTGACACTGGAACGTAATAACAGCAAACGAGTAGAAATAAATATCAAGTGGAATGTCCTCGACACAAGTCGTGTTCATACCGGCGCACCATGCACTGCAATGCACTGCTACAATCTATACTCGACAGGATAATATCGGTGGCGTAAACCTAATAAAAAACAAAACAGAAATAATATTTCATTTTACATCGGCCTGTTTTTTGACGAAGGATGTGATGCTAGCCGATGAATAGCACCTAATCGTAAACAGTATTAATTTCTTAGACTTCAATCCGAGACGAGGTAAAATGGATACACAATATTCTATGCGTATTGTTTGAAACAATAGAAAATCACTTTCGCACTCGCGTCCAAGTTCGCAGTAGCAGTATTTGCTATTTTTGCTATTGGCAATGATTACCTCCAACGCGTGTGGTAAATAGGATACGCAACACGTAAAATTGTGTGTTTTAGGTGTGCTGCACTCATATTCGAGCTGGCTTGTCCAGCACGCCCGGTTAACAGGAATCGAAGTTGTGTTCATAAACTTCCTGATCCAATACGAAAGTGTTGTTTTATGTGTGCAGCACGCTTCAGATAAAAAACATCGATGTAGTAAATAGCATATTACGTAACTATTGTTATATATAACCAAACTTATATACATCAAGTTATATTAAATATTGGGAGTTGTTTATAATTGACTAATTGTAAGTTAATAAGAAAAATGTATCTTAAAAATAACGAAATACTAAAATCTACGAACATAGATTCGAAATAATTTCCTTCAATTCCGCTGAATGAGATATTGAAATAGTGCATTTCAATGCACAGCTGCTTCCCATAAAGCAAGTTCATGTCTTTCTACGTAGGTCAACGCGAATAATGCAAGTTCAATAGTTAAACAAATTACAATCGGCAAAATATATTAAAAAATAACACATTCAAAAATCGAAACAAAAACATAAGTTTTCTTTGCCCAAAACAAAAAGATGAAAAATCTTCATACAAATTCTTAGATATAAAAAAAACGTCCAATGAATTAAAAATGGGTGAGTTTATTTTGCACAGGCGAGAAATGGTTTCGATACGTAACCGAGACCATTTCTCACTCACAAATAAATTCCTGTTCCTTTTACTGTTGATTTCAATAAAGTTCCTAGAAAAAAATTTACAAAATAAACTACTTGTTAATATTTCGAGTAACAGAATTAAGTAACATAATCGAAGATTACTTTTTAGAATTAAATTTTGGAGAGTTAGTATTTTTCCACCGGCGAGCCGTGACGAGGCCGGACGTACCTACGTACGTAACACGCGATTAATATTAATAGCCATCGCGAGCTCGCGCGAGACCATACGGGCACTCGCGTGATCGCGCGAAATATCTTGTTTCCGTTATAAAAGTAATACTCTACGTAGGCAGCAATACGATTCAATGTTATATAAACAAATATTTCAATTCTCGCCTCGCCCATCGTCGTCAATCCAGACCAGTTCCACCAAAGATGCGCGAGGAGAGAATTGCAATTTTGTCATACAAATTTTAATCCTCGTCTCGCCTCGTCTCGCCTCTCCTCGTCTCGCCTCGCCGGTGGAAAACTGCCTCAACTGCGTGAATCAAAGACAAAGTGTCTGTCAACGTTACACTTTTATCCAGGTTTTTCGAAAGAAGTTTCATTCGTAGGATACTTCCATTTGAGTTCCAAAACAACTATTTGAGTTATGCAAGGCGACTAATGAGCTGCGCCTACGTACATTGTCCCCTTAGGCTTAACTCACATCGGCGCAGAGTCGAAGCATCCCGTCGCGTCCTATTTTTTAACTACAACTCCTGACGACGCGCGTCGACGCGTGAAGCCGCTCGACTCCATATTTGCATAACAGAAATTTGTACCTTAATAATGAGAAAATAGACATGAATATGCTATAGGCGAAAAACACGACGCGTCGCGACGCTTCGACTCTGCGCCAGTGTGAGTTGAACCTTACACTGCGATGTAATCGAGATTTACATTTAATTAAATTAAACTGGAAACTAAAAACTTTCCCCGGCACCCGGAGATGGGCATTAATAACCTTCGATAACGTAAACGCTCCTTTTTATGGTATTGTTACAGCTTTAAACTTAGACGAGTCGCATATCGTAACATTAAAATGTACTAAATAATAATTATAATTACATGCTCCAGGCCTGAGCAATATATGCTCTTCGTTTTGTAAAATAAACTATTTTTTCTATATACCCCAAGGTCATTTATAATATATTAATTTGAAGTCGATATTTTCATTATAATGTATAATGGCCGTTTACGAGATCATAGGAATAATGTCTGGGTCTGAATCACTTCATAATAATTAATAATTATGTACATTTTGATGTAGGCCCGAAAATGATTCGAAACCTTAGCAAAAAAATCTAGAATACCAGCTGACGTTCCTGACAACTTTTATTCTTGAGATTTAAAGTTGATGGATTCAGAATGGAAAAATTATGTCCTTTTTTTGCACCGAAATATTTATTTTTTTTATCCTAAAATATGGGAAAATGTTGTGTGTGTGGCTTACTATACAGTACCAATCACAGTAAATCTAGTTGCAAATAAACAGACGGCGAAATTTCTCAAATTTCAATGTCAATTTGGTTGATATTCCATAAAATGTTTCTAATATTACGAATTATCAATTTAAGCCTCCTGGCGTCGGAGCGCTTATTTTTCATGGTGAGTAAAATGTTAGTCATTATCGATGCCTGTTATGTCACAGTTACTATAAAAACATATACAATGATATACGTTTAATATAACAAATAATGACATAATGACTAGTGTTGCAACGAATAGTATTTCGCGTTCAGGTCGAATCAATTTACGGTATTCGGCCAAATAGCAAAAAATAAGCCGAATAGAATAGTAACCGAATATTCATTGCAACTCTAATAATGACCTATAAAACTCTATTAAATACGCGTGACTAGAACAAAAGCCGAATAAAATACTCTCAACTTAAAGCACCTTCTTAAGTATTCGACTGCGAAAGCAGATTGATCCTTAAGTCGATGGGGTTAATCTTCAAAAAGTGAAGTGAAATGTAGGTAGTTTTCTGTTACATGACTATAATCTGTCGTTGAAATCCTGAAAATTATTGATGATGATGTTCGCAAAACGGAAAACAAAAACCATCTTGATTGATTTGATGAAATCCCAAACAAACGCAACGCAAATGTGATAATACAACAACTGAGACAGGACGCGTCCGAAACAATTTGGGCACGTCCTATTGTAAGTAGACACTGACCTTCGTATTTCTTCGACCTGTCGCTCCTCGGGCAGATCGACGCATGCAAACAGCTTCATCTCCCCTTCCCGCCCGAACACACCGCCAGGGATTTTCCTGCGGCAACGTTTATATTATTAACACCCTATTGGCATTGAACCCGTGTGGGCTGACAAGCGTTGTGACAGTAGCGTGATAGATTTTTCTCGAACTAATTTATCACGACTTTTACTACTGCTACTTCGGTAACGCAGCGATCCGAAGTGGGGTCGGGTCGTGACCTCCTACACCAGATTTCACCACGTCTCGCGATTTTGAACCTGATCCTGTGTCCCCTTAAGTCTTTCTGGACTTAATCGCTCCAAAGGTAAGTTCGACCGGTCGTTCTGCCGTACCCCAGTTTTGAATATTGAAATTGTTTAATGATATTTCAGCTAAGCAAAGTTAGATTAAGTTCCGATCGAACAGGTTAACAAATTTTAACTGTTTTTAAAAGAGAATTTTGTGCTCTTTTTTGCTATTTAAAATGGATATTTGACCATTTGTCACTTAACCGCGTTTCAGTTATTGGACGGCGGCATTGTCCATACGATCGTTAAAAGTACGGTCCTTTCGCAGCACTATCCTCTCCTATTCTCTCCGCGTATCGGAGCCATTTTTAACTTGTAGTTACAACTAATTTTTATATTAAAATAACGCTGTCGGAATAGGTATAAAGATCTTCTAAAAACTTGATGGTCTGAGGCATAAATGTTCTTATTAGAAGAGACCTGTAGGACTTACGTCTATGGATAGATACCATGACGCTAGTACCGGAAAAAATCGTTAAGTTTGAATTGGTTATAAAAGCCCAATGCAGACGGCGCGTATTATCATTGAAGACTGTATATGGATTTCAACGTACATTATGCCTTATAGTATAGCTTACACAACAACACTTAACACTGATCATTGAAAAATATTTCGTTTCTCTTTACTTTGTGCCTATGAGTCCTGAGAGGGAGATTGTTTTAGGAAAATTTCAACAAGTGATTCAAACTCCAGTAAAATAATTAATACATTGTTTGAAATGTTTGAAATGGAACTTTTGAGGTTTTCTATTGTGAAAGTCATAATAATTGGCTGAAATATTTATGTTAAACAAATTGTTTTATAAACAAATTAATTTTCTTTCAGAATTGAGTTAAGTTTACACAATGATCGACTTTGGGTTAAGGGCTTCCTAAAGTATAAACTCCTTGGAGAACTAATTGGGCTTTATTGTGATTTTGCAATATAAAACTTTAAGAACTGGTATAAAAATCAAATATGAAACAACAAATATAATATTGAACAGTTGTAATTATGTTTGCCAACTCCTTAAAAATGCAAGGGATAATATTTATTCTATACACTGTAAAAAGTATTACTAATGATAAAAATACTGTTAAAGAAGTAGCTATCACCAAGTGTTATCTACAAATTGGTGGTGTGGTAGGTCAAGTTCGTACGATATCATTGTAAACAAACAAAAATTTGCAAAAATTTCATTTTCATTATATTTTAGTTTCTTACATAAATAAGATTGTTCTATATATGACAAACTCATGATAAAGTATTTTTCTCATTAGAACTGCAAATAACATTGTAAAGGTAGAAAACAAACAAAGAATATCTTATCAATAAAAACAAACAAAAACCATTGTCAACAGAACATTGCATATAAATGAAAAGTAGCCTACTTTATCACATTAATTCATTTCTTATCAAATTCAAAACTTGTTTAACAAAGTTCTTAGTAAATGCTAGATACATACAATTTTTATTGCTGCAAATTGGGAAATGAAGTCAAGTTGGTATTTAAATAATAGGGTAACAGAGTATACATACCTAAGGAACAAATTGGGAAATGAAGTCAAGTTGGTATTTAAATAATAGGGTAACAGAGTATACATACCTAAGGAACTTCTTGAGCACACTAGCAATGGTGTACACTGAGTAGTTATCGACGTTCACCAGCCTCCCAGTCTGCAAGAAGTGTATCAATTTCTTCATTGCGCCCTGGTGCCCAGGTGCGCGAAAAACATCCCTACGAAGCGGCGCCTCCTTATTCAGCTTCAAAATTAGCACCTGCACAGAATATGCTCTATTCTAGACACTATACACATACGCAAGAATATTTAGAGATAAAATGTTTTAATACTAACCAGTAAAGGCCCTGGTATGTCGTCCTTGCACACTTCATGTAAGGGTACGCCGAACTTAACTTTCTCCAGTCTTCTTGGATACGGCAGCGAGTTAGGATGCCCACAGGAGGTGACCACACTGCTCAGTGTGGCCGCCCGCCGGTGCATCCTCCGCGCCCAATTACTCATTTTATCCGTGGCTGTTAAGATCCCTGACACCTCCACTAGATCACATTTCAGTCATTGTTATTTTACACTACAGTCTAACATCCCGAAAAGTTCTAACGAATTATGTAGGCAGCAGAATAGGTCGATAGACGAGTTCTGAAATTACCTACTGAATTGGTCAAGCTGTCGTGGGTGTGTAGTTGTAGTACGACACGACTTTCGGTTTCAAATCACTCTTGAAAGAAGCCCGGCTGAATTAAACGAACACTTTTATTTTCCCCATTTCATTACAAACATAAGTTAAAATTCGGCAGTTACTCCGATATTTTCAAGTGAATTTGGCTATGATAAGAACAAAACTGTGATGTGACTCGCGGCGATAGACGAGTGGGGTGAATGAATGAATTTGTAATCTTCTGAATGAATTTATATTTAAGAACGAACGAAATGTCAGCTTTATTTGCGCGAATGAATGGTGCGAATGATTGGAATCGAATAATTTGCTTTCAAGGAGTAGAGATCCTCAAGTCATTGGTATAGATCCTAATTTGACTTAAATTTTAAATACTAAAGTAAATTACATTGGGGATCAATCTTTTTCTTTTTTCTTTTTTTATGACCTTTGGGGATAGATTTTTTTTTTGGTTCTGTTTTTTTCCATTGGAAAAAGCAAAGGCACTAATGCGCCATACAGCCAAGACTTTCTAATTACTTTCTTGGTTTCCATTACAAAAATTTAATGTCTTCTGTGGTGCTTTTTTGTATGAAAAATCAAGAATGTAACCAATTTTTGTTTTTTTTATTTCTCTTGGCTTTTCGCGGTAAGCGTTTTAGCCACTTACAAAGTGTTTTGAGTAACTTGTTTTTAAAATGGGGAACTTTTCTATTATTATGGAATGTAATTTGGAAACGTATTTGAAAGTTGGAGAGAAAGTGAAAAAGGGATCATGCGAGGAATTATGCGATGTAAATAAACATGATATAAATATAGAATAAATGTTATATTATTATTACAGCAGTTAACTTTTTATATTATTTTCTAAAATAAATTTAGATAAATAAGTACCTATATCTAGAAGAATTATTGGACAACAACAAAACATGAATGGAAGTCGGAAGAGGCACATTTTATCTTAGGGTCGTATTCCAGAACTCGAAAAAAAAACTCTACTCAATGCTCAAGTCAGGACATAAGTATGATTTCAAGCACTAGAATAGAAATACGACTCTAATGGCAAGGACTTGAGTATGATTTCTAGTGCTTTAAATCATACTCAAGTCCTGACTTAAGCATTGAGTAGAGTTCTGGAATATGCCCTTAGAGGATGGAAAAAGAATAACATTTTATACTCTGGCCAATGATATTTTAGACACAAAAAAGGTCATTGACTCTGGCCAATAATATTACGACAATATTTGGTTTCATGTGCGATATTATATATTTGGTTTGGATAGTATAAAGATTTTATACTTTGGGCAATAATATTACGACAGTCTGGTTTCATGTGCATCTAAGATCATTGTGTGCTATATTTCTTTTTTTTCCATCGTCTAAGGCGATATTACAGATCAGCAACGTCGACCTAGCAATGTCACCAATTAAAAAAAATGGCAACGTATGAACCACAACCGTGTATGAGTTAAGTCAATGACGAGTTCACAAATTCAAAAGTTAATGAGTTCACGAGTGCCATAGATTTTTTTTTAATAATAACGCACACACTTAACATAGCCCCGCACTAGGGAAAACCTGTGTCAGTATATAGGTACCCTGTGTTAGTATATAGGTGTCTATATACTAAATCTATGACGAGTTCTTTGTTTCTGATTGTAATATTATTTTATAGAACTATTTTTTAATGTCGAACCTCATTAAACAATTTTCAATAGGCCATAATAAGTACCTATTATTGAGAAACATTTTTAAGTCTGCTATTATAGCCAATTTAAAAAGTAGTCATTAAGTACTTACGTACGTAAGTCTTACCTAATTTATTCTAATTCTTATAAGAGCTCTATCTGAAAGTACTTGGTAACCTTGTTTCGATACCAATATAGATATAGAGAAATAATAGGAGAATGGGTGAGACCCAATAAATCGAATTCTTGCCTAGTTTGCCACTCTCGAGGTGGGATATTTTATGGATATTTTCTTCAAATTTGTAAAGGACCGCTACGTACTTGCCCCCTTTCCAATAAAAAGAAAATGAAGTTGAATCGAAACCCTCCTCCTTTTTTCAAGTCGGTTAAAAAATAGGTAATTTATTCCTATGTATTACCATTGGAATAAATTAGTTAACTGTGGTATGTGTTGTCGTCAATTTCGGCAAAACACGGATAGCTCTACAAAAACAATTAGTTGACTTTAAAAAATTAATGGTTATTATAAATTTTTTTTTTTTACCTACACAAATTTTTAAGGGAACGTTACCCGAAATGCTAAAAAGGAACCTATGATTATTGGACACCCAAAATGGACCAAAAACTTTGGTTTGATATATATTGTTAGGTGATGAATGTGTATTTTTTAATTTGATCAAAATTCAAATTGAAAAACTGCTCACGAGCAACTGGAAGGAGCAAAAGCCTCCACTTTATTTCAGATCTATGGAGACGTGGTAACAGTTCCTATAAAAACATATTTTGCAATGGTCAATGAAACCTGTTTGTTACTTAATGACGAACCAACTAATATATACCGTACCTTTTAATATAAATACCATATTTTACAGATGGCATGTTAATAAACATAGGTACTCAAGAACAACAGATATTGTTAAATAAAAAAATTTACATAATAGTACATAATATTTATTATGCATGTATTTCGAAATTCGTCATCCACATCATAACCATAGAACAATCGATTTCATTACCTTAAAGAATCGAAAAATTTATCATTTACGAGTATAACACTTAATATTTATAATTTTAATTAGGTATACTTAATACTACTATTGGAGTAAAGTGCTCTTCTAATATTTTCGTGCAAGTTTCACATCAAGAGATTTAAACATTTCTAAAAACCCCATTTAGGGAAAGAAATACATGGATAGATGAAGAGCAAAAATCTACCTGTTATAGAAACAAATTCTGCAAAGTCGGCGCTGTTTTGTGTTTAACTACAGTTACATTGACTGAAACAACCATGATCAATAAATAATACCTATATAATTACCAAATGGCTATACAAAGTAATTATATAAATTATATAAGTGTTTGATTTCATAAAAATGTGTTACTTAAACAATTTCTAGTCGTTTCATCTCTTTAAAAAGTTCTTCTCCCATTTTGGCTGGCGAACGCGTGACGATAACGTTGGCCTTCTCTAGCGCTTTGATTTTATCCATAGCGCCGCCTTTACCGCCGGAGATGATGGCGCCGGCGTGGCCCATGCGCCGACCAGGCGGTGCAGTTAGACCTGCGATGAAGGACACTACAGGCTTTGCCTTCTGGCCCTGTCAAGCAAAACAAAACGATATAAGTGAACATGTTCAAATCACGCAGCCCTTTTCATATCACACTGATTTGCTCCATATGTGCAACTGTAGTAGTTTATCAGTGTTGCTTATAGTATAACAAAACGAAAACCATTAATTTAATATCTATTTGGAGCTGGAATGTAAAGGTAAACCCGCTTGGCAGGAAAAGGGCCTTAAACATTGGACACAAACACACTAATATTATGGTTTAAATAAATATAAACTCGACGTGGACCATACCAATTATAAACATAATATAATGTTGAAAATTAAATGTAATGTAACTAAACCAACTAATGTATTACTTTTTTTATATAAACGATCCAACTGATGAAAAATGTTCACTGCCGTCTAAAGACATTTGTGACTGAAAAGGAACATCCTGATTACAACTAGCTTGTTGGTTGAAAGTCTCCTTTGGATGGCTCTTTTTATTCGAAATAACTTTTTTACGTATGCATGTTGTGTACACTACTCAAGACAACAAAATATATCAAATGCCAACAAGATGTGGAATTAAGAAGCCAAGAATGACATATGTCTGACTAAACTACAGAGAAATCAGACAAATTAAACCTCTAAGTAGTACACTTGCTGCTGGGCAGTCATATTCCTTTACCTTCGTCTGTAGGAACACACAATAAAGATGTTTCAAATGTTTTGTTTAGCATGGTGTCAGCTTTTAATGTTATCTGGGCAATTTATTAGCAGAGTACTTAGTCGCTGTAAAGCCTTAATAAAAGTTTGTCTTGTAAAGGAGAGAAAAAGCGTCACTAAAGACCATGTGCAGTACTTACAGTGTTAAACTGGATAAGATAATCAGCAGCCATTTCTTCCGCTTGACCACCAATTTCACCTATAAGGACGATACCCTTGCATTCGGGAGCGCCCAGAAACACCTCCAGGCAGTCAATAAAATCAGTGCCGTTGAATGGATCACCGCCAATCCCAACGCAGAGCATTTGACCCAAACCAGTCTGTAAATCAATAATAATTATAATTTCTGTGCGGAAAAGAGGGCCACAGATAGTTTTTTATTAAATATATACTTAAATACAATATGACACACAAATTCTTTATACATAGAGAGCACTATAAGTTTCCGGAACTGGCCAACATATTTAAAAAGAAATTACAACATTTGAAAATGGAACTCTTTGGCTGTAGAATACAGTTTGTTTCATCTGACTGTCACTTGTTTTTACATTGTGGCGTCATTTTAGAAATTGGTTACCTACATCACCATGGAATAACCCGTGAAAATTTACGTAGTATGATTTTCTAGGACTTTCAAGTGTAATTTAACAGCTCAGCAGAGCTTCGCTCGGCTTCAAACTGCTTTTGGCGATGAAGCACCATGCAAGACGACTATTTATAGCTGGTTTGCAGAATTCAAACGCGGTCGTGTGAATCTCAGTGATGAATTTCGTGATGGTCACTGCTGTGAACAACGATGCTGTGCGCCGTATAATCAAAACAGATAGGCACGTGACACCATGAGATTCGGGCATCTTTTGGCATAGGCATGAGTCAAATACAATCAATACTACACAAACATTTGGGTGTGAAAAAGCTGTGCTCTCGGTGGATCCCACACAATTTGCCTGTGGCTCAAAAAACGGATCGCGTCACTTGGTGCAATGCCATGCTTACCAGATTCAACGAAGGGGCGTCACAGTGGGACATAGTAACAGGTGACGAAACATGGATTTATAGTTACAATCCCAAAACAAAGTAGCAATCGAGCGTATGGGTCTTTCGAGATGAGCCGAAACCAACCAAAGTGGCGTGCATGGAAAGTGCCTCTAAGCGGATGATTGCTTCTTTTTTTAATAAAACTGGACACGTGGCTACTGTTGCTTTGGAGAATCGTTGTACCGTGAATAGTAATTGGTACACGACCGTTTCTTTACCGGAGTTATTGACAAACTTAAAAATAACCGTGAACACAGACAGACAAATGAATTTTTTAAGGTGAACAACATTCACCTTATGAGCCATCCCTCGTACAGTCCCGACCTGGCACCTTGTGACTTTTATTTATTTCCAAAAATTAAGAACCAGTTACGCGGTCAACGATTTTAGATGCAATAATAGTGCAGGGTGCATTATTTTCAGATTAAAGCGCGTTCGATTCCCGCGTGTTGCTAGAAATTTTCGAAAATCTATGAATGCAGTTTTATTTCTTTTAAAAAATAAAGGAATGTTTCCTTTAAGTAAAAATTTCTATCTCCAGTATTTAGAGTACTTTCCCTCCAGGTGGCATTACAAATTTCCACCCTGTATAATAAATGTTTTCAAAATTGATTCATTCGTATGAAAAAGTGCATTAACGGTAAAGGAGAATATTTTGAGAACAATAAATTCATTTCTGACCATTTATAGTATTTTTATCTTATTCATTCCGGACTCTTATAGTGCGCCTCACGTATATGCAATAGTTTGTATATTATAAAATCAATTTGCATGCTATAATGAAAAAAATTTGTAAGTAGTAATAGAATTTTAAAATATGTACATTTGAACTATAAATAATAATAAGTAAAGCATAAATGATAATTTGACACCTACCATTGTAGTCTGGTTGACAGCTTCATAGGTAAGTGTACCGGAACGTGAGACAACACCTATGGAACCCTTTTTATGCACAGCAGCTGGCATAATGCCGATCTTGCACTGTCCTGGCGCGATGATGCCAGGGCAATTAGGGCCAATCAGTCGCGATTTGTTCTGCCTCAGCAATGCATGCTTCACCCGTACCATGTCCTGAATGTAACACAATCATTACCTGATTTCAAAAATTTTATAGAATAAACCAAGCTTCTAGCAATGTAATTTCTTATCTTAAACTAACATGTGAAATGTGATCATAGTGGCTAGCCAGTTAGATAATAAACGACATATTACCTTGAATGCAAATTAAATGGTAAACCCTATATAAAATAGAATACTTCTTACGTGTTGTGGAAGTCCTTCCGTTATACAAACAATCAGACCCATTTCTGCCTCAATTGCTTCCATAATGGCTTTGGCCGCTCCTGCAGGTGGTACATAGATTACTGATGCATCAGCATTTGTTGCAGCTTTTGCTTCCTTGACTGTTGCAAATACTGGCTTCCCAAGATGTTCGATTCCCGCTTTTTTGGGTGACACTCCACCAACAATTTTCGTGCCATAATCGAGGGCTTGTTGGCTGTGAAAGGTTCCTTGTTTTCCAGTAAATCCCTGTACAATAACTTTTGTTTCACTTGTAAGCACCAAATTTTTCCTGGTCTGAGTGTATGTTGAAGATGATGTTGAACAGGAGCTAAATCTGACGCCGCCAAGTACAACCCCATCTAGAACAAACACTAGTGCTGAACTCAGACTAATTTTGACTCACAATCTGCTGGCACCAGATATACAAGGTTATTTGTACAATACTAACAACCTTCCAGGATTATGTTACATAAACAACAATTTTGTTCCATAACTTTATATAAAAACCAAAAACTGGAGCAATAAACATATTTATTGCTCCATTAGATACAGAAAAATATAACCCACATCCTTTCTAATTGGGGAGGATGTGAGTTATATTTTTCCGTGTCTAATGGAGCAATAAACATAATTCCACTTATGCCATTCTTCCATGAAGGGTGCGTTGGTGGTAAGGTAGTAAGTACAAATATGCAAGTGTGTCTCCCCCAACAACTCCCACTATCTTTTGTTACTGCATAGAGATATCACTGTTTAGAGCAATCTATTTTAATTTTTTAATAAAATCAGATGAATTATAAAAAGTTATTGTTTATGATGTTAGCAACATAGTTCTGTGAGATTGGCAGTTCTGTTTACAAATAACCCAGTATATGTATAAACAACCAATTTAATTAATGGATGTGTGCTACTATCCATTTGTAATTTATTTACCTAGATTGTGATTGCAGGTGTACTGTCAAACCAAGCCTGGATTTTGTTATACCGTTAGCAGCCTACATTTATATTATTATTTTCTTTTGTTTATCCAGGGTGCCTTACTTTTACCAGGCCATGAATAGGATATTACAATTTGGGGAGGTGGACAATACTTTTAATTTACAGTGGAACATTTTTAAACTGAGTTATGTAAGCAGTTGCTAAGAAAAGTAAGTTTATTCTATTTATTCATTTATAGACCTATTTTATTTCTTTATAAACTATTATTATTGTTTAGCATCAACGGTCTATTATGCGCATACAAATACATAAGATAAAGACACAATAGAAATCAGATTTTTGATATTACATATAGCCTTGAGATTCAGTTTACTCTTAAATAGATTTTCACAGAGCTAGTATGTGCTGTACAAAATAGTACTATACAAAGACAAGCCTTCATTAAAATTAAAAAGTAAATACTAAACACAGATGATTTAAAAAGTAAATACTAAACACAGGTGATTTTTTTCATAGTTGTAACCAGCATTGTCCATTATACACCCAACAACTCAAATAAACCTTCTGTTATCACAGTTGTCATTGCTGTTCTTATATTATTACCACCCTTTACATCTAACAAGAATGAAGAAAAAAATTCAAAAATAATTTTAGGTTTTACTCTAAAGCAAAGTGATGATAGTGGCAAAGGTCACTGTACTTATTGATCCAATTTCTTGTACGTTGGGCATTGCAGTTTTGACAATATTGTCCATAGAATAATTAATGTTCTTAACAGTTCACAGTACGGTAGGTATAAACACATTTAGTACAAAAAAAAAATTAATTTATTTATAGACGAAGGTCTCGGTAACGTTAATTTCTATTACTAATGACATTGATCGGGACTGGTCTTGTGTAACAGTTCGGCAATTACGATTATCGTTCATCTTAGCCTATCTGAATACTAAGATGGCCCGTAAACGAAAGTAGATTGAAAAAGTGATAATCTGGCTACAAGGTTACATTGATGCAGAAATAAATTAAATCGCTAACGTAACACAAGCACGTCATGAATCGCAGCGGCGGAAATGTATGATATTTGCTAATAAACTATACGTATTAACAGCTAGGAAGAAAGCTTTAGTTTACCTCTTAATTTGGAAAGAATTCGCATCGAAACAGCCATTGTATTATTAGGAGCGGCAGGGAATGAATTAGTATAAAAAAAGGACAATATGACACTGACAAACTGGCATTACGTAATGACAATCAGAAATTTTTGACAGATAGGTCACTGGGTTGCAATTTCTAATAGTAAACTAAACTACATATCCCAGTATCATGACTTCACGTTTAATAAATCCACAAAGATCGTGTTTCAACTTTAATAAACATGTAATATAATCGTAAAGAAATTGAGGCTGTACTTTTAATATTTCAAAGTTCAAGGTAATGTTACCCGTACTTGCCAGTGTTGCCAGACTTTTGCGAAGTTTTTAAAACTTCTTAAAAATACTTTTTTAAAGCCATAAAATCACTAAAAATCAAGGAAAATAATTCTACAATTCTACTTGCTGCCGAACATTGGGGAATATGAACTCTCTTATTTCCCCAATTGCCCACACGTAGGAAAACTCCAAGCCCCAAATGAGCTATAAAATTTTGTAATTCCCCAGATTTTATTAAGTAGCCTAAAATAGCTAAGCCTAAAGTAGCCTTTTCCAATTTCAAACATAGCCGCATACCACATATTCAAACATAGCGATCACTATAGCCGCCACGTGACCCCTCAAAGTAGCCTAAGTGGCGAAAAATCGCCTATTTTGGCAACAGTGGTACTTGCTGAGACTACCAAACCTAAAACATCAACTTCAAAATGTTTGTCTATTTGTCTGCGCGTTTATGCACGTTAATTCGAACTAATTAGAATCTGGCCTGGTTCTAAGTGATGTAGATCGAATAAGATAGGTTTAAAAAAACAATTCAATTTTAAAGTGTGTCTAGCGCTCCTGTATGTTCCATAAATCCGGCGATTATAATGCGAAGTCGCAAGGCATTTAAAAAGGCATTCCATATGTTGCATAGCAATAATACGCTCATTTTCATTTGTACTCTAAAATGCACCACACCTTTTTATAATTGTCACCTGTAATAAACAATCCTTAGCAGTTTACTAGCGTATATATAATATCGCTACAGGCATTCCATTCTTTACAATCTCCTGCAAAAGCAGGTATAGTAAGGCTTTGAAACTGCACCAATGCGTTTTGTACTTATTGTTTGAGTTCAAAAATTTGATTTGACTATTATTTTGAGACTGAGAATGATTACCGTCTAATTCATATTTGATGGACAATATAATACTGTCTTTTATTCAAGTTCAAAATTTTCTATCGAGGTTTGAATCTGCTCGAACTGAATTTGTATACGAGATTTTCCAGTACACGAAACCATATATTTGCGATAAGAATCTGTATTACACCAAGCTAAACAACAGCGTCAAGTTCCCTCTTTAAACAGCTTATTTTGTGCAGAAGACCAACATAATGCTGTAGTCTTAGTCTTTTTAAAAACGAATAGGTAAAAATTTAAATAAAAGAAGGGAACGAGAAAAGAATAAAAAATAAATAAGAAAATCCTTGGATGTCTGTTGCACTATCGTGCACCCGAAAGTCGAATAATAAAATACGAATGAACTGGGCTCTTACGTAACGCACACTCCGTGCACTCAATTGAAGTCGAAAAATGAAAACGAAATATAAAATAACCTTACGAGGATGGAAAAACTCTTTATTTTGTTTTCCTTTAAAAGGAGCTGCCCTATCTACGGAACAATGGTACCTACCTAAATCAAAATTGTGCCACACATATGACGGATTTAGGATTCGGCAGTCCTATAATTTCCAAATCTTTTTTTATCTTTTTTCATTTATAAACTTTAAAAAAAATAATAATGAAATAATAAAAACCTCGTAGTGAATTGTTTTAATAACAGAATATCGATAATATGTCTGCTATCAAGAACAACACTATCTCAAAATATTCGTTATCCACAATCATCAAAATATACTAACAAACAAGCAATCTAAAGTAATCAAAGCAAAATTCGGCAAAACTTATGAATAAACTATATAAATGAGTCTAATTACATGAGATATGTAGGCTATTGTATTATTTATAGGCATTTATAGGTGTAATGTAACATTTGGTTGATTTCCGCTTTTTCTACTGCCGCACCCATAGACATATATCTAGATAGACGCCGCAAGTACAGCAATTGTGTGAAAACCAAGCGTGCCACATTTTTTGTACCCACTATGACGTCACAAGAACTGTTTAGTGATGAAACCTCATTCCGCTCGCTCTAAATCGATTGATTGAACAAAATATGCGTAAACACGCGCATTCCATTCAATTAATCGATTCTAAATAGAACATTTTTTATATAGATTTTAAGACTTTCGTGGTTATTCACTAAATGATTATCACTAGTATCAGGTTTCTTACCACGGTATGACGGTTAACGTCAACCCGTGACCATGGAGCGTGCATCCGTTCCGAAATATCGGGAAAATAAAAAGAAGTCATACCGTGGTAAGAAACCTGATACTAGTGATAATCATTTAGAACATTTTTTGTTCAAGTATTTGTTGATTACACTATTATAAGTACTTAGTCGTAATAATAGGGGTTAAAGTATGAAATTGCCGATTTGTACTGAAAATCTAAATTGTTTATTTTTTAAATTTTTAACAAATTTATTTAATCAAAATAGTTGCCATTATTATCTATACATTGCTGCCATCTAATGGGAAGGTTATTAATGCCTTTGCGATAGAACTCCGACGATCTAGACTGCACAAACTGTGTGAAAGCATTTTGTACTGCCTCCTGGGAAGAAAACTTCTTGTCACGTAGATAATTGTCCAAATCACGAAAAAAATGGTAGTCCGTTGGAGCAAGGTCTGGTGAATACGGAGGATGACGAATGGTTTCTAACTGCAGTTCCTGAAGGGTCAAAATGGTTTCTCGGGCTGTGTGAGGTCTCGCTTTGTCGTGGAGCAATAATGGTGAAGATCGATTCATGAGTCGGAGCTGTTTTACTGCTAGTTTTGTCAACATGGTTCGGAGTTCGGCACAATAGACATCTGCCGTTATTGCTTGACCAGATCGGAGAAAACTATAGTGAATAACACCATGCTGACACCACCAAACAGTTACCATTACCTTTTTATTGGTAAGTTTTGCTTTAGGACACTGTTGTGGCATTTGACCTGGGGTCAGCCATTGCATTTTTCTTTTCCGGTTATCATAAAGAATCCACTTTTCATCACATGTTACAATTCGATCCAATATTCCTTCATTTCTGTACCGGTTCAACAAGGCAACACAAGTTTCAACACGCGTTTCTTTCTGCAGATCAGTCAAATCATGAGGCACCCATTTTTCGTATTTTTTTATTTTATTGATTTGACGCAAGTGAGTCAATATTGTGGGTAAGGTAACGTTAAACCATGCCGCTAATTCCTGGGTAGTTTGACTAGGATCGGCTTCCACTATCTCTCTTAATTCATCGTTATTCACCTGTGTGGGCGGTCTTCCTTGTGGCTCGTTCTTTAAGTCGAAATTTCCATCACGAAAGCGTTTAAACCAAAATCGCACGGTGCGTTCATTAGTAGACCCCTCTCCAAACGCAGCATTGATATTGCGGGCTGTTTCTGCCGCGTTAGTTCCGCGTCGGAACTCGTATTCAAAAATCACTCGAATTTTCGCAGTATCCATCTTTCTTGTCTAAATTGAATAACAAAAACAATTGAAAGTCGATATTCAAATGTTTCAAATTTAAAAAAAAAAAAATCACAGAAACCATTTGAAAAAAGTTTCATTCGAAAACCTCAAACCATGAAGATTCTATGAAAATTCAAAGAACCTATTGCAATAAAACGGCAATTTCATACTTTAACCCCTAATATTAATATAGTAGAAAATACTAGAATAAGATAGTTTAGCCCTTTATTTTACTGGTTAATAAAAAATGTTGATTACTTAAAAAAAATAAGACTTTAATTTTTAATACACTTCAAATACTAAAATTATAGTCCTTCCAGTAAAATGAGCTTATTATATAACATTCTTTTGTAATAAAAGACCTTATCGATTAAATTAAATAATGAAAACGCACGTCAGTATATGAAATTGCGACTGCCTTAATTGATTTTACGAGACGGATTTCCGTTGGTAATCGATCAAATTGATGAATGGCAAGACAAATGAAAATGTTACTGCTGACAAAATATGGTGAAATCTTATTAATCAGGAAAGGTTTCGCAAAAATTTCACAAATTTGAAATTTTTGAGATTTGTTTATTATTTCTCGGATATCTAACTCTGCTACTCTGCATATTTGGATATCATATTAGGTGGAATAAGCTAGACCGTCCTCGAAAGCAACGAACTCATACGTATGACCAAGTCTAGGTTTTTGTAAAGACAGCGCACTGTTAATTCTTTGTTTTATATATTTTTTAGTATTACTCGTACTACATATCCGGCGATGTATGTAATTATTTGTTCGTATATTTTTTTATGTATAATTACACGTTGCCTCGAATATCCGAATATAGCATTCGGATATTCGAGGCAACGTGCTGCAAAAATTATCGAAATTACAGATACTACTGATAATAATAGATACTACAAAACTGAAAAAAAAATCGAAACTTTACTAAACGACATAACAAAAGAGTTACAGAATATTTTTATAATATTGTTATGGTCACAATAATTTTCGTCACTTTGTTTTCAAAATCGACAAACAGTGTTGCCGATCTATACATCTCTAAATGTTAAATTTGGCCAAAGAAATGTACAAGCGGCCGTACCACGAAACTGAATACATTATACAAAAGTGCGTTCGTTCAATATTCATGGCGTATTAACAAAGGATCACAAATATATCACACCAAGTAAAAGCCGCAATGTATTACAAATAATGAGGCTACACTCGGTTGCATATTTGTTTTCTCGAAACTCATAAAACCAAAATAATTGTTTTAAAAATCAAATTATGCATCTTCTGATTACAAAATCACTTGCATGTGGAAGGAAACGTCCCTGTTTACCCGTTCACCCACAGTAATGGTGCTTTTGCAGTTTATAATGGCACAATGGCTCCAACTGCCTCTGTGGAACGGCTACCATGCCACGCAGAGGTCCCGGGTTCGATTCCCGGGCTGGGAGAAATATTTGTA